ACTGAAGCAAGTTTATACAAATTACCTAAATGAAATTATTTTAATTTTATTCAGAATTTTTTTAAACTTTGGCTAAAAATCAGGGCCAGTCCAAGGTCCTAGCTAATAAGGCAATAGGGCAGGTGTCCATGTTAGTATGGGGAGGAGGTACTGAAAATAGTTTTAAAAAAAAAACAAGCTCATCTTCATAGTGCTCATATAATATACAAATGTTCACTTTGCTCAGGGAACCAAAAGTCATAGGGCCACACCTGGTTAAAAATTTACTTAGAAATCACAGCAAGTAAATGTAATTATAAACAAATCAAGCCTTTTACAGATGGATAAAACATACAACTGCATCTAAGCAGGTAACATTTTATTAGAGGAGAGAAATGACTTAGAAAGACTTAAGGCCTAGGGCTTTGCAGTTATCTCTGCTTTGTGGTTGTCATTTCAACATATGCTTGGCCATATGACTAAGATTAAATAACAGCTCACACTTAGATGGCACTTTTACTTCCAAAGTGCTCTATAGACATCCTATCATTTTACCCTCATGACAATCTTAAGTGGTAAGGCATTGTAGCCTGAGGTTCTAAGTCTAAATAACTAGTCCAAAACTATACAATTTCTGAATGTCAGAGCCGAGATTCAAAACTAACCCTTTCTGATTAAAAGTCTTGACACTGCGCTGCATAATGTAGCTAGGGATGCCAACCACTACTTCACCCTAAGATGGGAAAATTTGCTCTATTCAGGGAATTTGAAGAGTTGAGGTGACTCTAAGGTAGATCTGTGACTTGGTACTTGTTAGAGGATAATCAGGATAGAAGTCATTTTGGAAAGGAATTTGGAATTATGCAAATGAAGTGACTAAAATGTCACTTTGATTCAAATATTCCACTAATAGTCAACACACTCCCAAGGAGGTCATTAAGAAGAAGAACAACCCTACATACACCAAAATATTTATAGCATCAATTGTTGTGGTAACAAAAAACTGAAAACAAAGTAGATGCCTATCCACTTGAAGAATTGCTAAACAAATTGTGGCATGTGAATGTGATGAGTATTACTGAGCTGCAGGTAAGAAACAATGACTATGATGAATACAAAGAAGAACTGAAAGTCTTACACAATATGATATGGAAATAAGTGACCCCCAAAAATATATATACACAATGACTACACTCATATAAATGCAAAGAACAACTGCTAAAAAAAGGGAACACTGCAAAATTACAAAGAACAAGCATGGGCCCCAGGAAATATAAGAAGACTCTCCTATCCACTCTTTTGCAGAGGTAGGAAGGTCCACAAATGTGAAACACAGCAGAAATATTCTCAAACTTTTTTCAATGTATTAATCAGTTGAGCTGATTTTTCTCTATTCCTCTTTTTCTTTCAAAAAAGAAATTTGATCTACTGGATGATATTGGATGACTAAGAGAGGGAAGGGAGGGAAACAAATTCTGGTGATATAAAAAATAAAAGATGAAAATAACTTTTTTAAAGGAAGTTGCTTTAACTTGGAAATTCATCACCCTGTGCTCACTCTAGTAATGAGATTATCTGGATTTCCCCAGGCTTGTAGTTAGACTAGTCATTTATCAGTATTAGATTCCATCAGTTGAGATTTGATTTATTTTAAAAAAGTAGAGCTGATGGGGGCAGCTAGGTGGTGCAGTTGATAGAGCACCCGCCCTGGATTCAGGAGGACCTGAGTTCAAATGTGGCCTCAGACCAGACACTTGACACTTACTAGCTGTGTGACCCTGGGCAAGTCACTTAACCCCCATTGCCCCCCCAAAAAAATTAGAGCCGAGAACAGGCTCCCACTGGGAGACCAGCTCAACTACATCCCTACTCTCTGGAGGGATTCTTCAGTCAAGAAAAGGGGAACAAAGAAACCAGCTAACAGAACTAGAACTTTAGACTAGTTTAGGGGTAAACCTCGAGGTGGGGGATACCTATCCTTGGCCCAGTAAGCCTATTCCCTCAGGACCAAATTCAAGGATTTAGTGGTCCAAAGGATAACTTCAAAATATAACTTGCTGTCTAAAAGGAAGGTATTCTACCCAGACATCAGCACTGGGCTGGGAATAGTTAAAATAGCAGGCCAACAAATGAACCATTTCCTATGGTGTGGGTATAGTAATACAGTCCTCAGAAACAGCTTCATCGTATCCTGCAGTTCCTATCTTTCCTTACCATCCACCTGGACCGTAGGTAAGGTAACTGGTATGCATATTGCTATAGGTGCTTGCCCTAGATGCAAAAACTCCCAGTTACAACTCTGTCATGCTGATCCTTATTTTGTACCCCATGTTATTCTGCATGTTTATAAGTTGTAGCATGGCATTACAAAAAGCAATGGAACCTGAATTTAGGGGAACCCCAGCTCACATTCAGGTTGTGCTTTCCATGTTTTTTTTTGTTATTGTTCAGTCATTTTTCACTCATGTATGACTTTTCATGACCCATTTGGGGTTTTCTTGGCAAAGATACTAGAGTGGTTTGCATTTCCTTCTCCAGCTCATTTTACAGAGGAAGAAACTGAGGCAAACAGAGTTAAGTGACTTGCCATCATAGCTAGTAAGTATCTCAGGCCAGATTTGAACTCCTGAAATGAGTCTTTCTGACTCCAGGACTGGCACTTATAATACACTTCACCAGTTTTGGCCTCATCTTCTGCAACTGTAAAATGCAGTAGTGTTTTCTACAATATGGTAACTGGAATTGCAAACTTTAAGTATTATACAAAAGATAGTTCTTCCTATTATATTTTAGAATCAAGTAAGGATGTAAGCAAATAGTTTTGTAAACCTTAAAAATTATTGTCTCATTCTTCTCATTTTATGGAATTCAGCTAGAATGAGTCAAGAGACCATAATAATAGCTTACTATAAGTGCTTACTATGTGCCAGGCTATTAGCTAATAGCTATACTGCTATTATTCTTTTATATTTAATATTCTGTGGACATGCAGATAAAATGCCTGCTTTTTAATAACTGAATTAAAGTTTGGGGATTTAAGCTCATATGTAGGCTCACTGAAAGCAGCTCTGAGACAACTCTAGTAGCAGACAAGAGAAGGGGGATGATATTCACTTCATCATGCTCCCACATATTTTTTTTTCTTCTACCAAGTCTCTAAGTAGTTTGGAGATTGAGTACTCAATATGGCAATACCTGTTAAAATATTCTTAAAAGTCTATGGATTTATTGTTATTATTATTATGTATTCTTAAATTATCTCTCATCTAGTCTGCTAAATTAAATTGTAAATTCCTTAAGGTCTGGGTTCTTGTCTTATACTTTTCTGTATTTGCCATTGTTTCCTGTTACCTTTAGGGGCAGGACTAAAGTATTTTACAGGACTTTGAGAAACCTCAAAGAGCATAATACTAAGAAGTCAAACACTTACAGAGGAATAGATTAACAACAAAGTTTGGTAGAGAAATAGTTGGGAATTCATGAAAGATATAGGCACTGAGCAGACAGTCTAAGAACGGTCAAAGGCAAAGAGAGATTAAGAGAAAATAGAGAAGGAAGGAACAGATGTTATAAGGTTTTCAAACACAGAATCTGAGAAAGGCTAGAGGCAAAAAGGCCTGACCATATATTGTAGTGAGCAGTTAGCAACAATGAGCCAGAAAAATTCAAGAGATCAAAAGTCTAAGGCCAGAAGAAGCATCAACAGTACCAGATAACCAATATGTTTAAGGAAGCAGAAAAAAAAAATCTCACAATTTTATCACACATAATTTTGTGGGAATGAAAGAATTTTGCTAAATGATTTGTGTTGTTTAAAAGGAAGCTGCTACACAAATACAGTACAATTGCCATGATATAAAAGGAGAGAAAGGGTCTAAAGACAGCCACCATTACATCCTACACTATGACCTTAAAGGAAAGTTACTAGACTGCATGAACTTTGGACAAACTATTCCTGCTTGTGAAAGCTTGAATTCTAAAACTTTACCTACTAGTTTTAAAAGACTATCAACCCCTGACCTAAGTCATCAATGTATATGGTACGTACTGCACTGGCTGGACTGGCTCATGTGCAAAGAAATCTTGCTTAGGACCTAGAAAAATAAATTGAATAATAATCCTGAACATAATACTGAAACATTTGTATTAAATTTCATAAATTCAATTTATCTTCTGTTTTTAACTTTGATGTACCTTAACTAAATTAATAGATGTAAAGTTTAAAAACAAATTAACTTTTAGAACCTTTTGTGAGAAAAAAGTAAAATCTTCTGCATAAGCATTTCAATTCAGATGTTATCTTTCAACATCTTTTCTTTTCAGAAATTATGCTATTATATCACGCTCAAGGTATAAATTAGAGGGTTTCCTCATAGGTTAAGTAAAAATGCCTCATGAAACTCTCCTTTTGACACTTCAATGCCTAACTTTCAAAAGAGGAATTACCACCTTATAAAATAACATCTTATAAAAAAAATCCCATCAGATAGCAAATAGTGATAACAAAGTTCCATTCTTTTTGTTTAAAACTGTAATTGTTCCACATCTCCCTCCTCACTAACTTACAAATATTCTAAGGTGAGGAACCATCACATTTAACCTCACTCTCTAAAGACCAGTAGTACTTAATACAGAATTATATATCTTTTAGGTATCTAATGAATGCTCATGACTATTAATGATCATTTCATTCTTTTCAGGGCAGAGAAAGAGAATATTACCCCACTTTTTCCAGAAGGGAAAATTAGGTCATAGAATAACCACTCTATGATTTGCCCATGGTCATATGGAGGAAGCCATTGAGCATGAAGAATCAAATTCTTTGCCTTCTTGTTCAGTTTATGACAACGGTTCCCACAAAAATGACTCAATTCCTCCATATTGTTTTACCTATCAAAGAGAATATCAAGAGCATTTATTTGGCTATTTAAGACTACTAATTTGTTTCAATGAAATAAAAATCATCTTGAAGTAGACTTTAAAATTATTACTCATAGTTATAAACGAAAATAAACACTTACCAATACTAATTTCATCATCAGTTTCAGCATCTCCAATACATTCAAACTGGAAATCTTGCAAGGACTGTGAAAATTTCTGTACAGCCATGGACAGATCTGTTATTAAAAGATAAACCAACATTTGGTTAATTAATTGAACCATAATAATTCAGTATTTCCTATCTCAATATTATATTATTTTTACATTTACTCATGGTTCAATTAATGCTTTCTGAATTATGAGTTGTGTCAGATAAACCAGGTTTATATATGCCCAAACCACAGAAGTTTCATACCTGTTTATTAAGAATTTTTTTCAAGAAAATAAATGGTAGGTGTTAAATATAGCAAGGAATGAATAACATAACAAAAATTGATTATATTTTAACAGGAAACAACTCACTGCTAATGTGGCAGTCATTCCTGAATGAGCTGTTCAGTTGAACCAATTTGTTAAAGTATAAAATTTGTACACAACTAAAACAATGAAATTAGAAAGAGAAATAGTATACAACTGAAAAAATGCAATCTTGACCTATTCAGATCAGTTACTGGTGATTTTAAAAAATGGATACAGGATGGAAGAAAGAATATATACATTGTTGTTGTTCAGTTGTTTCAGTCATGTCTGATTCCTCATGACCCCATTTGAGATTTTCTTGGCAAAGACACTGGAGTGGTTTGCCATTTCCTTCTCCAGCTCATTTTACAGAGCAGGAAACTGAGGCAAAGAAGGTTAAGTGACTTGCCAGGAGTGACACAACTAGTTAAGTATCTGAGGCCATATTTGAACTCAGGGCTTCCTGACTCCAGGCACAGCCCTCTATCCATTGCACCACCTAGCTGTGCCCTCTGGATAAATACATAGGCCATAATAATTTCATACCAAATTTTAACCAATCTAAAACTCAATGTTAAGTAAAAATGAAACAACTATTAGAAGGAGACCAAAAGAGCCTAAACAATCCCTTAGGGGAAGTGTCTTGCCTGAGATTGCACAGGTAAGGACAGAGCTGAGATTTGACAGCAAGTTTCTAGTCCACTTTCTAACCCCAAGTCCAACGTTCTATCCATTTTATCAAGCAGCCTCTATAAGCTCCCACTTCAACTCTAAGTTCCATCAGAGTAGAAATGGTATCTAATTTAACTTTGTATCTTCCATAGCATCAGGAATCTTGCCTTACTTCTTACTAGAGTAAACACTAAAATACATGCAGAACACATACAAGGATTGGCCTCTCCTTCCCTAAGTCTCATAGTAAGAGTGTTTCTGGCACAGAGTGCCCTACCCAGAATTCATTCACCTAGAAAAAAATAGCCTCCTTTTCCAGACTCCATGGACTGCAGAAAAGAGGCAGAAAAGTCCTACCTGTGCTAACAGCATTTGGTGGAAGGGGGCATAGAGTTGATGAACATCAAGGGACTCCAACAAGGAGCTGAAAATTTCTTTTTAAAATTTAAGAAGAGATTAGGGGCAGCTAGGTGGCACAGTGGATACAGCACCAGCCCTGAAGTCAGGAGGACCTGAGTTCAAATCTGGCCTCAGACCAAACACTTGACACTTACTGGCTGTGTGACTCTGGGCAAGTCACTTAACCCCAATTGCCTAAAAAAAACCCAACTTTCTTTTCCCCCTGAAGGTGAGTGAGTTTCATGCAGTTTCTTTAACCAAGGAGTTGGATTAAAGATTACTAATAGTAATCTATGATAAAATACCAAGTCCTCTGTTTGACAGTTAATGTCTTCCACAATCTGGCTCTTACCTATCTTTAAACTAATTTCCCCTTTCTTCCTCCTCACACATTTCCGGTTTCTAGTCAAACTAGCCTATTTACTCTTCACCAGAAATGACATTCCATCTCCCTTCTGTATGTCTTTACCTAGACTGTGTCTCCCTTACCTTTAATGCAATCCCTCCTTTATTCAACCTTCTAGAATCCCTAGATTCCTTCAAGGATTATTCTAAGCACCTGTTCTAGAAAGCTTTTCCTAAATCTGACAATTTTTACTACCTATCCCATAAAAAAATACTAAAATCATTTTGTGTACCTCTTACACTAATTTATCTTAATTTATATATCCTTTTTCCTTCCAGAGAATGTTAACTTTTTTGGGGGGTGGAAGCAATCAGGGTTAATTGCCTTCCTATAAGCCCACTGACCAGAATAGTAAGCAGAGTACAATAAAGCTTGTTGAATGAATACATGAATGGGGACTATACTTCTCAAGGGTTGATCTATAAATACAGTCTACTAGTTCAAGGACCCATGATTTTATTGATGTATACTCTCTCCACTTATGTAAACTTATAATGGTTTAATGAGACATGGGTAAAATAATTCAGCACAGGGTGGCCAACCTTCTGGTGAAGAACTTCTTTCGACTTAATGAGACTCAATCCTCTGATTAAAGACACAATCTGTCTGTGGGTCTGATTTGAAACCATTCCTGCTTGGTAGAGCAGTGGCATGGCATCAACTTTGAGAGAAGAGGCACTTCCACACCCTGATGAGGCATCAGAATAGAGTTTTAATAAGGGCTCTCTAAGTATGTCCAAAATTTTTTAATTTAGATTTACTCAGTTTTCAAAATTAAAATCACCCTTATTATGACCATTATGACTTATGAATAGCACTCCCCTCCCCCGCAAGGGACACACTGAATAGGTGAAAAATGCACAGATGAAAACAAACTCAGAGGAGCCTCACTGCAAAAACAAAATATAAGGCAACTAGGTGGCAGAGTGGATAAAGAATTAGATCTGGAGTCAGGAAGACCTCCTTAGTTCAAATCCAACCTCAGACATTTACTAGCTGTGAGAATCCCGGGCAAGTCACATACCTTTCTCTTTGCCTCAGTTTCCTCAACTATAAAATGGGGATAATAATAGCACCTACTTCCCAGGGTTATGAGGATCAAAAAGTTCTTAGCATACTGCCTGGCACTATGTTAATTATTATTCCCTATCCCTTCTCCTTTTTCCAGCCAATTCAGGAGAGTCATATAAGACAATGGTGATAAGTTCTTACGATGTTCCCTTAAGGTTTATCAAATAAAGATCTGTGGAAGCCAAAAAATGGCTGGGGGGAAGGGGAAGTCCTGAGAGCAGAGAAGAATTCTAAAGTGAAACATACTTTGTTCCATTCATATTAAAACCAAAAACTTCAAAACATCAACAGGAACATGCTGGATAATATCAGATGCTATGAGAACACCAAAAAGAAAACTGACCTCAAAGGTAATTTTAACCCAAAACATATTTTGGGCCAGCTATGTAACTTTTGGCAAGGCTTATAACCTTATAACCTTAATGTCTGTTTCCTTATGTGTAAAATGAGCACAGGACCACTCTTGCCCAGCAGGGTGTGAGGCTGCAATAGCATAATAACAGGGCAGAATACACCAAGGAACCTGCCAAGGGAAAAGTCCTTGCTTCATCATTAAGAGATCCCACTGCCCACTGCTCTGTAGAATTTGAATACAGCTTCAATTCAATGGAGAAAAGTTGATGGTTAAATTCCTGTCAACTTCAGGGGTAATGCTATAGGAAAAGAAGATGACATCACTCCTGTCTATCACAACTTCTTTTCGCTCACTTTACCCCTCCCCTTAACCCTGGCTTTAAACTTGCTGTATGTGAGAAAATGTGGTTTGCTTTCCTCCATCACAGAACAGGCTCAGAGTCAAAACAAAGAACCAGCTAGGTAACATGGTAAAATGGAATTAGATGACTCCAAAAGCATTGGTACTGGGTATAATTTGGAAAAAGTTGCCCATCAATAGTTGGGAATTAGCTGTAATTATTCTCGAAGTTACATAGTTAATCCTATGTCTCCTTTATAGTATACCATCTGAATCTACTCTAAAAACAGCAAGGAAAAAAATATGAATTCTGCCTTGATGATGGCAGCTGCAGGAGTCTCCAAACATTGGATGTTTGGAAAAGAGTGAAAGAAAATAACATACTGATAGCAGCTGCAAAAGCCTTCGCAACGCACCACAGGGCTTAGCAACCCATGAGGAAAAATGTATATTTATCTCTCTCTTCCCAAAGTAGAGATGTAGGTTTGCATCCCAACTGAGGATATCGCTAAGACTGTCTTAGCAAAGCATAATCCTGCAGCCTTTAAGTCACCTAGTGAGAGAGAAGATTATACATGAGAAGTTTGCCTCTCAGGTGGTTCAGATTACACTTGTATTTTGGAATGACTACTCAATAAACAGTAAGCAAAACACACACACACACACACACACATACATACATACATACATACATACATACACACACACACATTCTTTCCCAAGAGCTTGACTTTAGTTTTAAAAGATTTGAGTGTTTTCTGGGTTCTTGATATTTCCTTTCTCTTTTCCCCTCTCTTTTTGGCTCTCATTTTCACAACTGAAAGGGAGTGATACTTAAGGAGCATTACTAACATTAATTATGAGAGGTATGATTTATAATGCTGTCACACAAGGAAACTAGTTCAAACCTCCAATCTTGGCTTCATCTCTGCCTGATTCAATGTGCAACTAACTGAGCAACTGCCTTGACACCTACCACTGACTTTAAGCCATACCTATAAGCATGCTGTTATCTCACTGTCTACAGAGTAGCCAAGAGCCCCCATATCATCTTCCTGGGTTCAGACAACAGAATACTAAATCCTTTTAAACATAGAATTAAAAAAAAATCTAAATGTTAGACTACACTCCTAATTCGAGAACTTTGTTTAGCTTTGCTGATATTTTTGGCATCTTTTTTTAAAAAAACTTATTTGTTACATAGAATGGCTCTCTGGAAAGGGGGGCAGAAGGACAGAGGGGGAAATTTTGGTGATGTAAAAAAACAAATGATGCTAATAAAAATGTACTTAAAAAAAAACTGTTCATTGAATGTTTACAGGATCACAATGAATATTTACTTTCCTATTCATTACTATTATCACTATTGAATTTCAAATAAGTAAAGAGATTTCAGGGACAAATGGATAAGGAAACAAAATGTAACAATCTGAGAAAGCCTAGCCTGGAAGGATCTTGAGTCTGATGAGAGCAGAGATTTGGCTCTTTTTTGTCTCTCCCAACCCTTTACCCCTGTACCTACTAAGGACTCTGAA